CAGCACTTCAAGTTATTTTGTAAAAATTATGTTCGCCATAAAAAGAACCTACTGGAGTTTGGAAGTTAAAAATTGCTGCAATAATTCTGTAATTGGTGCATAAACATGCAAAAATTAGATGTTAGGTTGATTTTCTTAATTAGTAATCTGCAGTAATGAAAGGAATAAACAAAGATGATCCTAGCTAAAGAAATATATATGTTCCTATACATATTATATTACCAGAACTGCTGTCACATTCTTAGTCTGAACAAATGAAGGCTAAGAAACTTTCTGAGTAAGGTTTGCTGTAAACTGACGAAAGCTCCATGGATGAAGTAAAGAAGTCTGTAAGATGGTAACACATCTGGCTATATATAAGTTAAATATAATAACCTGAGCTTGTTGATAGTAAAATAATCTCAAATGATAAGAAATTGTATTGATGGAGGGAATTTAGGGCCTATTTTTTGTGTGATGAGTTGTTCTGGGAGCAGAGCCACTGCTGCCTGACTTCTTGGATCTTGTAGATCTGCTGTGGGTTCCAAGTTACCTCATTCCTTTGAAACCTCTCCTTCAGACTGGGAATTATTTACCTTAGACACTTTCAGGAAATTCAAGGGAACATAATTACCTTTGAGGTCTTTATATAGTAAATGGATTTTCAATCTGCGGGGCAGTTTCAGACAGATACTGAGTGACAAGCAGACAGACGTCTAAAGCATTGTACTTCTACAAGTTCTATGTTTTCCCTAAGAAAAAAGATATCTTTTGCTAAAAGTGCTAAATTAAGGACAAGATAATGTGTCTCCATCATTTTACTGCATATAAGGGGTGATTACAAAATGGAAAGGGGAAAATAAGGCAGGAGAGATAAAGAGTCATGTGGTTGAGAAGAAGGAAAAGGATGGGAGAAATCTCTTATCCCACATTAAGACAGAGGCTGAAAGAGTGGATGGTGGCTTGGAGCCCCACTCCAAATTGGTAGAAGGCAAAAGTTGAATGTGTCCTGAAAGAGAAAGCTCAAAAGCCCAGGGCTGAATCTGAGCCAGTGTGTTTCTGATAGGATTTTGATTTGTAAATGTTTCGTTCCAAATCCAAATAAGATGAAGTGGATAGAGGTTGATTATGGAGGAAAATAATTTTAGTTTCTTGCAAATTAAACATTATGAGAGGAAAAAACCCCAGCACTTACTTTAGGAAAAGAAAAAAAAAAAAAGAAATTTTGCCTATTTTACTCACCCCAAAATATATTAAATGGATATTTTGCTTAATTTCCTTTTCCTTGGTAATGTCAGAAGGATTGTGTGAATTTCCAAATATAGCCCATTCCATTCAAGTGGTATTTTAATACAGAAAAATATTTAGGTAAAATTTTTCCAACTGATTCTAGTTGCGGTTTATGTCCAGATTAGAGGCATATTTTAGAAGAATCTTCTCAGGTGCCAAGAACAGAAGGATCCCTGGACTTTGGACAAAAACACTTGCCTTGTTTTGGCTGGTCAAAAGAAGAGATCAGACAAAAAATCTAGCTTCCCCCAAATTCATAACTTTTCTTATTTTTTTCTTTCTTTGAAATTACATCTTTGACTCCCATAGCATATGTTCTTGCATGTGTTTCTTGGCACTCCTGAAGGGCAGATCTGTTTCTTACATGCTTCCTGCCTTAATTTTTTCTGGGGAATTAATTTTGTCCTGGATATGTGTGCAGAATTCCTGTGACGACCATAATTTTTCTTTAATATCAATGTATACCCAGAGCTTCTGTACTAATACTGAGTTTGCTACCTGCCCACCAGCAAAGCCATATGCTAGAATCAAATGTTAATTGGTTATCAATTGGGGATTTAGTCCTACTCATCTGCTAGATGGATAGAATGAGAAACTTACACCAGAGTCAATGGAACATACTCTCTAGTCCTGTTAAATTGCCTGTCTGCCAGAGATTTGTTCCATTACAATCACAACACAAAATGAGGTTTGGATTTGTTTTAGCGTTGCAGGCTCTTTAAAATTATTGGTTTGTTTTCCAGTGTGGATTGACAGGAATCTAGAGAATCGGGGAGGATGGAGGGGACCTCTGGAAGACATTGAGTCCAGCCTCCTCCTCAGAGAGACCAGAACCTTGGCCTGCTGACCTTTGTGTGCCTTTGAGGGAGGAGATTTCCCAGCTGCTCAGGGCACCTATTGCACTTTTTTACCATCCTCATGGTAAAATTCTTTCCTTGCAGCATGTTCTTGCTTGTGCCCATTGCTGGCTGTCGTGCACCTCCGAGAAGGACTTGCACTTGCATTTTCCTGGGCTCAGGTGGTGGCAGACCAGCAGCAGGGTCTGCCCTGCATCTTCTCTGGGTCTGAACAGCCTCAGATCTCAGCCTCTCCCCTCATCCCAGCCACCTTGGCAGCTCTCTGATGGGCTTGCCTCAGTTTCTTAGAAGTTTTCCTGTCACTGAAGAGCCCCAGATGGGACCCCACACTCCAGAAGTCTCTCAAGTGCTACATGGAGGAGAAAGATCACTTTCTTTGTTCAGCTGGTTTTGCTGGTGATTAACACAGCCAGGGTGCCATGGCCACAAAGACTCCCTGCAGAGTCTTTTTGACTGAAGTTACTCCATCCTGGGTGCAGCTGTGGGAATAACTGATGAACCTGGAAGCGTTTTAATTATCTGTGATCAAGAGCTGTTGGGTTAGAAAATGGGAAACTGTTTGTCCTAGGGCTGTGAACAGGGACACAGCCATACAACATTTCTTAGATTATGTACCCTTGGGGATGTCCTGCTCCTTGCCAAGGAAGCCAGGGCTACAAATTGAGCAGAACTCTCTTCCTTACACATAACTTCACCACAGCAGTGCCTAGTAGGGAATAACATTTCAAAGACTTATACCTAAGTCTGTACCTCAAGAGCACTTGGAGTAAAAAGCAAAGCGTGTTCTAAAGTCTTCCAAGGAACAAAGTTTGAACAAAATATTGCTAAATCTATGAACAAGCAGCAGAAAATACCCTCTTAGTAAAAAAACTGATTTAAAGGGTAAAAAGTATAGTTACAGAGACAAAGAAAAGGAAATAGTTTTACCAAAGCCTGGCGTGGAGTGAAAGAATAAAACAAACAACTGAGATGCATACTCATCAAAAACACAGTTGTTAATTGAAAAGCTGACAGACCTGTAACTACAGCAGTGCCTCTGGCCGCCACTATAATAAATGTAACTGTACATTTAGAGTAATTTGCTAATTTGCCTAAGTAACACCCACAGACAGTGACATGACATAAATACATTAGTGAAAGCAACAACTATAACCAGCTCATACAGGTTCTTGGCTGCTAGATGGATGGATCAGATGAGCTGGAAAAGATTTACCAAACAGAACAGAAATGGAGCTGGTAACAACATTGTGGGATACAGGATTTCTTTATTCCTTTAAGGCCTGAAGATGCCCATACATATTGCAGCATATAAATAACATTTTTTACTTGTGTGTGTATGTGTGCACCCACCTGGAAAGCTTGTACAGGTGGAGTACACATCTGCTAAATGCTAAGTGTTTCAGAAGCAAAACGGAGAAGCCTTTCAGGTAAATTACTGACTCTTGAACATTTAACATGTAATTATAAATATCTGAAAAGAGTTTTTGTTAAATATTCTAACGGCACATATGTATTCGGTCCATAGGAAAGATTGGAACCTGTACCATCGGATTTCCTAATACAGGTGTTCCAAGTGTCTGAAATTTGTACTTCAGAATCACCCACGTCTTCATTTGGCAAAGTTCAGCCCTGTGTCACCTCCCTTAGTTCTGTCTTTTGTTTCCATAACTCTGAATCACACTGTTGCATTTTATTCTGAAGTCCTACTTATGCCAACTTTTGCCATTGCATATTAACTGGTTTTTTATATTCTCTAAATAGCCTGCCTCCAGGTTAAGCTTGGGCCATCGCTAAGGATTTTTATGTTATCAACAATGCATTTCTAAAATTAAAACCCCACAAAATTGCTGTTATGCAAGGTGGGTTTAATTTTCAATAAAATATTTCTTTCTGGTCCCAATCCCCTCTTCTGTCTTCATCCGGATACAAATTAACAGTGCAGAAACAAAGCTAATGAATGCAGCTTTGCACAGTTTCTGTCTTTGTTTCCTCCCAGATGTGCTTAGGAGGTTTGTGCTGAGCTGTTTGAGACAGGCAATGCCACCTCTCAGGAGCTGAATCCAGTGAATAACCAAATGTGGAGTCAGGTGAAAAGTTTCTGTTTCAGTGCTGCTCTCAGGAAGAGCCCACGTGTGTGGGCATATATATTCTTGCCTTCATCGGGAGGTTGTTCTAAGGTTTTTCACTAAATACGGGTTGTAAAATATTCTTGAACATGAGTCACTTTAAATTATAGTCCACAGAGCTAAGGGAGTCACTGAGAAAATGGAGCAGGAAAAAAAAAAACCAAAAACCATGGGATAGAGGCAAAGAGTGAGATTTCACTGTGGGATTTGGATTTTTGGCAGCCAAACTGAATCCATGCCTTGCTTGAAGGCTTGATATTAATGTCTGGGCAAAGACCCCTCTGGCTGACCCAAGTTCTGAGTGTCAGTACAGGCTGACAAAGACCTCAGCTCTGGGAGAAGAGAGCTGACATGATTTTATGAAGCATTACGGCTGATCTTCTTTGAACCCTAATTTCTGTCAAAGAGTTATCATCACTGTCACAGTAAATGATACTTGCAGCACAAATGGCAATTAACTAGAAGTAAATAGTAGAGCAGAAGTCTGCAGACTGGTTTTTAAGGTTGATGAGTTGAAAGTAATTTCAACACATTAATGCTAAGCATGCTAAATCATAGTGTGCCATGAAAAAGACAGTAATGTCATTTACCTGAAATCAGCAGGAATTACAACAACATGTAGTAAGGGTAGGCTCAATTGTTTCAAATATGTGAGCATATTACAGGAACCAATAACACTTTGTCTATCTGTTTGCTCTTATCAGATTTTTCATAAAACAAGTAATTTGTTTGTTTTTCACTGTTTTAGGTAGCCTGCCCTATGAATACAAGATTGTGATAGCAGGAAATCATGAATTGACCTTTGACCAGGAATTCATGGCTGACTTAATCAAGCAGGACTTTTACTATTTCCCCTCTGTTTCTAAGCTGAAGCCAGAGAGCTATGAAAATGTACAGTCTCTTCTAACAAACTGCATCTATCTTCAAGACTCTGAAGTGACGGTGAGGGGATTCAGAATATATGGCTCCCCTTGGTAAGCAGGTTTTTAAGCATACATAAAAAAAAATATTGTTGATTGCTATCACATCAGCCATTTTGTCTGCATCAGCTGTATTTGGATTGATGTGCTAGGAAGAAAAGTAACACTCACTTTGATAAAGTTTTTATATTTTCTTGTAATGAATCATTCCTGTGACAAAATAATGTACTGTACTGTGGGTATGGTTAACCAAATAATGATGGGGAAAAAGATGGTGTGCTCTTCAAACTCTCAGCCAGGAGCAGTGGTTTAACAGTCCAAGCAGGGGGCTTTTGTGTCATAAAATATGTTTTCTATCCTTGGTGAGTTTATATATTTACAGGTTAATTTTATTGCAAGGGTACATTCTTTTGAGAATTTCCATCATACAGATAATATTGGAGGTTCATTAGTGTATACAGTAGTCATTTAACGCAGCGAGCTTATTTCAGCAACTCTGAGGGTCTTTTATTGCATATCCTTCAGAATCTTACTTTCTTTTATAAAGTAATAGCTTTCCTCAAGGTCTAGCTGAGATTCTAAAGTCAACAACTCAGTGGATATTTGATATTAATATTTGATGGATTTTTTTCTACTGCATAGTGAACACTTAGAACCCTTGACAGTATCGGGGGCAGATGGACTTTAGTTCCTGATTTCCTTGTATGTGCTGCTTCTGTGTCTCTCACTAATGTCTCATTGCTGTTTATTATTTCTGCTGATGGGCCTGTAAATTAGGTCTTTTGTGAGCATTTGGTATATGTTTTAAAAAAGTAAAAATGTATTTTAAAAGGCAGGGTTTTAAGGGAATATATTATTCTTCCTTTTAACATCACATCAGGCTGAAATGTAGCAAACAAGTTGTCAAACCTGATGCATATACCCTGATGTGAATTTTCAGTGTGAATAAACTGTGAAATCTCTTGCATTTTTTTTTTCTTTTTTAATGAAAATTGGCTTTTTCCCATTTGGTTACTTGAGATGGGTGTTAATTTTGTCTGAGCTTATTATTCTACATTTGTCTAGATTATTTTCCCTCTTAAATGCACCCTTCTCTTTCTCCCTCTCAGACTTCCAGATCTTTCTGAGTTTTTTTCAACCTACCAACCTGCTGTGTTGTATTTCATTTTCCTCTTGTGTGCATCATATATGCAGTCAATGTGCAGTTTACTTAAATTTCCAAATTATTTGGGAAGATGTTAGATGGTATCAGTCCCAATATTAACTTCTGAGAAATGCCACTTGGCATCTTTTCCCCTTTTGATGTTCAACTGTAAATACTGTAATTACGCTCTGTTTACAATATGTCTGGCAACCTCATATCTTCATTGCCGTGTTCATAACCAGGCACCATATTTCCAGTGCCAGTAATAATTTTCCAGGCAGTGAAGTACCAAAAGTCGCATGGAAGTCTAGAGAAATTAAATTAAAGCAAAACACTATAAAGAAGCACTATGTAGAGGCTAAAGAGAAGCACTTGAACTTTCTGTGTGTGATTAGACCTGCAAAAACCTGTTGAGAAAACCTTTTGTCCACCCACTAACCCAAAGACAATGCTTCTGTAAAATCAGCTCTACCACATTCCCTTTGGGCACAAATCATATCACTGCACAAGTTGCCTGAGCTATCTGCTGTGATCTATCCTTCAAGTAAAAAGAACATTTTCCATCTTTTCTGCAACTCCAGGTCATAGCTACACTTCCACACTCCATCTTTTACAATGCTGCTAAATCATCTCCCACCCCATTATGGTCCAGGAAGTTGAATAGTGTGAGGTCTCCTGAAGATATTTGCCTTCTCTGTCTGGGAGAGGGTCTTGATGAAAGTCTTCCAGCCAAACTGAGTTTTTTTGCTCGCTATTCAGCAATGCTGAATGAAGTTTCCACACCAATTGATGACATGTCCAGTGGAAACACCAACAGTAGCAATAAAAGCCCTTTATCAATCTATCAGGGCAGCAGATGCAGAGTCCCATCAGCCAGGCCACCAGTCAGAAACCTTGGGAAGACAAACAGCACTTGTGTGAGTGTACAACTAGCTGCTGCTGGATTTCAGGCTGTGCTACACTCCTGTGCATAGTCAGCACCATTGTTCTTTGGTATTTCTGCTAATATACTTAAGTTTGCCCTAAAAGGAGAGGTTTGTCCTAGTCTCTCTGGGAAATCAATCTCAGTTTCTTTCTACATCATAGTAATGTAATCTCTAAAAAGATGCAGACATTTGTTGAACTTTACATGGTGAATATTTTTTTTGACCTAGCATTAAAAAGCTAGTTCACTAGAAAATATTTATGAACACAGTCAAGACCTCAAAGTTTAAAGTTCTTTAAGGTCTCAGAACTCCATAAGAAAGTCAAATTTCATGCAGTTGCTTGTCTAATATCCTAAAATATTTTTTTCTTTTTTGAAAATATGCACTTAAACTTGCTATTTCTAATTGCAGTGCTGACCTTGTCTTACATCACCTTTTGTAGAAATAATTGGAAGCCAGAGATATCCCTCATTCATCAAATGCGTTGATCAATAGTTGCAAAGTACTTTAAGAACACTGGAGTAAGGTCTGAGTGAAAGCCAAGCAGCATTAACTTAGTGTCTTTCAACTGTAGCCATCTGCATTTTTATATATAACCTGCACACATTAGATTTTACTTCTATTTAAAATATTTTAGTTGCAAATTAACCATGAGAGCTTGATTGGTTTGTATAACATGCCAGTCTCTAAGGTCGTTTAAATATGTACCACTTGAGTGTGGTTAAATACTTTTAACAGCACTTGGTATTTTGTCCTCTATTATTATCTAAAACCAATTGCTTCTTTTTAATCACACAGAAGAAATGGGACAGTGTTTTGTCTCAGAAACCAATGCTCTAACTCTCCTGGGCTCCGAGGGCAAGAATTCAAGTGCCAGATTGAGCCTCTACTCACTAACAAAAATTGAACTGTCTTAATCGTCAATTACACGAGTATTATCATTGAGCAGGGAGCAGCCATTTTGAAATGCCACTTGCAATGCACAAAAACAGGAATTAATACTACTTAGGAATTAGTACTACTTAGGAATTAGTACTTGCAAAAGCCTTATCTTGGACCATGGATTATCAGGATAGATGATAAGAAGGAGAAGTGTGAAAACATTAGCAGTTTCATTGAGAAACTCAAGAATATAAAGATTTTAAATGCGTCCAGAGCAATGCTGAATGCAATGGGTAGTTGTTTGGCCTAGGGGCATGATGCTTCTCACAGTGCATGTGGGGCTGGCTGCCAGATCTGGATGAGCAGGGCACCAATAAGAATGCAATGTACTTCACAGAATCCCAGGATGGCTCAGGCTGGAAGGGACCACAGTGGGTCACTGGTGCCACCTCCCTGCTCCAGCAGGGCCATCCCAGAGCACAGGGCACAGGACTGTGTCCAGAGGGGTCTGGAATATCCCCAGTGAGGAGACTCCACAGCCTCTCTGGACTCGGTCACTGCCCAGGACAGAAGTTGTTCCTCCTGCCCAGGTGGAACCTCCTGGGCTCGGTCCCTGCCCGTGGCTCTGGTGCCATTGCTGGGCCCCCAGAGCAGAGCCTGGGCCCTGCTCGGAGCCCTCCCTGCAGCCAGGGACACCCAGGGCTGAGGGCCCCTCTCAGCTGGGGCTCCTCTCCAGCTGCACAGCCCCAGCTCCCTCAGCCTTTCCCTGCCAGGGATGCTCCAGGCCCTGAATCATCTCTGCAGCCTCCGCCGGCCCCGCTGCAGGAGCTCCATGGCCCTGCTGTGCTGAGGGGCCCAGAGCTGGACACAGCCCTGCAGATGTGCCACACAGGCTGGGCACAGGGGCAGGATCACCCCTGACATGCTGGCACTGCTCAAGTCTGGACACCCTGATTTTTTTTTTTTTTTTTTTTTTTTCCAAAAACTAGTCACAGGAAATCATCCCAGCAAAACCCAGGGCATGGTCAGAACATATTCACAGACCTGGAAACAATCTTGTGCAGACAGCAGCTGTAGTTGTTGTGAATGTAAAAGAGAAGACTTTAGTTCCTCAATAACATTTACTGTAAAATGGAAAGCTTCTAGTTGAAAAGCACTTTTAAACTCTCCCTTTGTTCTGAACCGTTATGAAGATAGACAAACTGGCAGATAGAATAAATCAAATGATTCTGTATAATAATTCCATATAATGTACTTGGGACTGCTAAGAATTCCCAAGGATGAAGCCATTTTCTAGAGGGTTTTAATTTATTTTTCAGTAACCAAAAAAAAATAAAAAATCATGTAATAGAAGTAAAAAAATAGCAAGCAGGAACACCAGAGAGGTGGCAGACAAAACACTCTTAGGTGTTTCCAAGATTCCAAGACTTGGCTAGAGAGTCATGGCTGACCAGATAGTGAGTGGTAGGTTGGACAGGAGACCTCCAGAAGTCCTCTTTGAGCTATCTTTCTCTGATGCTGTCAATCCCACTATGGAGCTAGAATGGTGTGTTAACAGACACCTGAAATGGGCAGGTATCAACAAAGGCCTTGCAACAGAGTTTGTGTTTGTTATCACATTCACTACAAGCAGTAGATGGTCCCAACATCTGAATCCTGGTGGTTCAGAAGTCAGGAAACTGAGATAACTGTAGAAGTTTGAATTTGGATTTGAAGCAGGAGGTCTTTGTCATCAGACAGTGTTTTGTGTTATCAGACAGGGTATTAAATCTATGATGACATCATTATGGAAAAATATTAATAATTTTTTAGTGAGTTACAGATTTTCAGCTTTCTATTGTAGTTCATCCCCCCCTTCCCCCCCCCCCCCCCCCAGTATGATATTGCAGGTAAGAGTTTTAGTACTAGCCACAGCTTGAAGATAAACTATACCATCCACTCTTGTTTCTGTAATTGCCAAAGATTTTAATTACACAATTACACACTATGTTTGCACAAAAAGACCTGATGCATTCAGTGCTCTGCTTGCTGAACGAATCCACTGTATATTAATCCTTTTGCAGTTATTCAGAAATGCCCTGTAAAAACAAATGCCTATAAAG